AATGTTGGCTTCATCAACCTCGGACAAACCCAGCTTCTGGATCTTTTCTTTAATAGAGCCAGGACCAGCCGAGGATGGTGATGCTGGTGGTTTCTCGGCCATGGAGAAAAACTGCAGTTGTAATTCTGACTTCTGACGGGTCCCATTGGGCGTGCCAATTTGTGTGTTGATGAAAAACACGAGGCCTGGGAGATCTGCTTAACTCCAGTGCAGGTCCAAAGATTAATGAGACGCGGGCATGCCAGTCAGTTTGATCCTGTAACTGACAAGATATGCAAATTCATTTACCTCCGATGAAATTTGGTAATATCAGCTAGGTGCCGATGACATATCATTTACCTCCGCACCGATGTCATATATGTGTCGATCGACAGTCATAAATAAATAAGAAGGAACTAAATATACTCGATCGACTGTAGATATTAACAATATATACTCCTTATATCAATATATACTTAAATCAAGTGATTGGGATAGATCGGTCGCCATACCGAGACAGCATAAATCACTTAGATCGAAATATATATTAATAATGAGACTACATATGTTCATAGCATAGCCGATCAGATAGATCTAGCATGTATCGGCTAATACTCCGATACCACTCTATATTAAGATATTAAAGCAAGTAGAATATATTAAACAAAAGCCTAATATACTTAAATGCAACAAGATCTCAACATAAAGAGCAGATTTAACATGTCAATAAAGCATATAAAACAAATATAGTTAAATCAGGTAAGATCGGCTGAAACCCCGATTTTACCCTAATCGGCGACCAAGAAGCAGGCTAGAGATTGAGATTCTAATCACGACTCATAAGATCAAACTCAACTGATGCAGCTATAAGTATGAAAAGAAGGACAATATCTAGACAATCAAGCCGTTGGAAGTTCATAGAGCGGTGGATACTTTATATAATCTAAGTCAACGTCGATATCTAATCTAATCGGCTGCCCTCTATCAACATATGTTAGCCGATTGTAGATTAGATAGCGATATTGCCAGAGATTATGTAAGATATAAGATAACTCGATGAATTACATAAACAAGATTAGAATATCATAAAGATAGAAGCACTAATCCCGAGAATGCAAGCCGTCATAATAAGTTTTACCTCTTCTTGAAGATTGAAACCGATGCAGCTCAACCCGAAAGTAAGAACTCGTCGAAATAAAATTAAAGCAAAAAGGGTGGCGATGCGCCGAGATTGTATTGAACGTGTGTTAGATTACATAGACCCCGGGTGTACATATTTTTACCCATGGGTTGATACAAGTCCTTGTCGGACAAGAAAGAAACTTTCCTAAAAATAAAAGGAAACTAACAAACTATTCCGAATTAATAGATAACTTGCCATGCCATAGGTTGCTAATCTAATCTAGCAACGCGATTTAGCCGATACCGGCAGAAACCCTAAAACGAGAAGCAGCCGATAGAGCTAAATTGATATGCTAAGACTAGATTAACAGAGACATATGATAAATAGGTAGGCAAATATATCATCCAAACCAGAGCAATCCAAGAGGTCGAATGTACTGATGCAGCCTTGAACGACGTCGATGTAGATGAGACAATCGCCTGGGCCGGCGGAACATTGGACTTACCCCTTAGCCGGAGATCGAACACCGATGCAACCCCGCGTCAGGTGCCAAGTCCCGCTGGACGATAAAATAAAGTAGAAAAAGTAAAAGGTGGCGATGCGCCGAATTGTATTGATTGTGAAGATAGATTACATAGACCCCGGGTGTACATATTTATACCCATGGGTTGATACAAGTCCTTGTCGGACAAGAAAGAAACTTTCCTAAAGATAAAAGGAAAAGATAAAGTCCTTATAGGACACTAAACATACTTTCCTAAAGATAAAGGAAACTAACAAACTATTCCTAATTAATAGATAACTTGCCATGCCGCATTCTCTTTGAACTCGGTCTCTTCTGGATAAGCTTCCTTTAGTAGATCAATTTCCTCAACCGAATATAGCAAGAATCCGACAACTGACGACTTGACAACTCTCATCGGCTAATCTCAGGACTTCGAAGCCGATGCTGACTCTAAGCCGATGACTACTCCGGGCTTACCAAATTTCACTGTTAATACAACCCCAACAAGAACTCACGCAACACAAGGGAAGAACACTCAGAACAGGAATGCAGTTGTGGAACTCGGTAAGAATCACTCTTGCGTCCAACCGGACCGAGCCACCGCCGCCATCGCTGCCGCCGAGTTCATAGCCAAGTTATTACAGCTGTTGTTTCGAGTATACATAGGATTTCCTCTCCCCACCAACACACGCACACAGACACACACACTCTCTCTCTCTTACATGGGCCAAGAAGGGCCGATACATAGAGATGGCTCATACAGCCCAGTCCGGTCCCGTATACTTCTTGTTCCTTAGCCTGATATGCTTTCCCTTTGACAAGGCGTCTTCCTCCAACCCGTCTTCAGACTGTACGTCGTCAGCCTTGTTGCCGTCTTCCTCTTCAGGTCGTTCCTCCCCTTGAGCCTTCCAGCTGGTACTCCCTTGAGCTCTAAAACTATTTAGTCTATATAGAGAAGCACTATACAAGTTCAGGTAGTATTTTTTTTATCGCGGCAACAATCCTATCCAAATTCGTTATAACCTGTTATAGAGTATTGAATTTCCTCCTATCTAGTTTGTGATATTTTGTGATGAAGGGAGTACCTATTTAGTCTACCAGTAAAATTTTTATTAGAAGCTTTCTAGGATGATATATCTCGCAGCAAAAAATGTCAGAGTTTTAGTTATAATAACAAGCACCGGATGTGTTTTAGCGCTTCCGTAGCGTTACATACAAAATTATTGAGGAATTTTTTTTTGTATGCAGAACAGCATAAGATCAATCTGTAACAGACTCTGACTCGAACGGACTCGCACAAAGCACATCCGGAACCATTTACTGGTTCTCTCTTATTATATATGCAGAATAGCATAAGATCAATCTGTAACAGACTCTGACTCGAACGGACTCACACAAAGCACGGATAGCAACTTCTTGACAGCGAGGGGGGCGGGGTGGTCGGCGAGCTCGCCCGCTCCGCCCGACGTTGTGTGGCGAGCTCGCCCGCTCCGCCCGAAGCAGAGGAGGATGACATGTGGACCCTACGTGGGACCATCAATTTTTAATTATTTTCTAGTGTAACCGACTACTGGCCTTCTATTTTTTTATTTTTTTTCGGAATTGAATTGCCACGTACGCGCTATGTCAATGCTATATGGGACGAAGACTTAGTCAAATGAACCACATAGGCGCCACATCAGCTAAAAGCGGGGACAAAACTACCGGGACCTCGTTTGCACCGGTTTTGGAAGTTGAAAGATGTGTTATATATGGTTTTTCGATTCAGGGATGATTTTGTAACTCAGTGACAAGATGAGGGACCTTGGGTGTACTTTTTTTTAATGAGTTCACATTCTCAGCCATCTGCTGCATGGGCCGTCATTCCATCCAGCCTAAGAAGGCCTCAGGGTTTGTACTGTTACTCCATCCGTTTATTAATATATAACTTCGTTACCGTTGACTTTTTAAAATATATTTTATCATTAATATTATTATTATATATATATATATATATATAATTATTATTTATTCTTAAATGTTCTTTAAGCATGATTTGAACTTTTTTTTACATTTGTACAAAAATTTTGAATAAGACGAATGATCAAACGTTTATCAAAAAATGAACGGTGTCATATATTTAAAAAGGGAGGTAGCACTATATATTCTCAGTAACCCTAGCAAAACATAGATTGAATAATAAATTTTATGTGACTTAACTTCAGTGGCGGATCTAGAATTTAGAATATGGGTGGTCCGACCTAATTTTTTTTTCAAAACATCTAGGATTATCAGCTATGTATATCAATTAGATCCACTTGAGTAGAAACAAACAGCAAATTTTAATTTGAGATGACAAGGGGTGAATTTGAAAATTAAAAATTGAAAAGAAGAGTACAAGGATAAAGCACCTAGGCTAATCAGTAATCAACAATTACCTGCCCTAGGGCCCTCTTGCTTAGTCTTCCTTTCCTTGCAGATTGCATGGTTGCGTTGCTTGCTGCCCGCAGGCCACAGGTCGCAGCTGCTGCCATCAGTCGCCACACCCGCACGCTGACGCCGGTCGCGTCACCGCACCCCGCCGCCTGCCGCCGCGCCAGCACGCCGCCCTTGCTGCCTTGCGCTTGATCGCCGAAACATCGGGATGGGAAGGAGTGAAGAGTCCTAACCCTAGTCCACACGCGCCGCCACTTCTACAATCGGTGAGGTGCCTAGATAGGAGGCCCAGGAGGCATAATCGTTGAGAGAAACAGAAACGACGTTGCTTTTCTTAGATCCTTCGACGTTTGCTCTTCAGTTTTCTTTTTCTTTGCATTTTTACGGTACGTCTATTGGGCCTCGGGCCTGAATTTTTTTGGGTGTTCCGGGGACCACCCGGACCACCCACTGCATCCGCCGGTGCTTAACTTTATATTTATATTGGAATGGAGTGTCTATTTAGTCTATATAGAGAAGTACTATACAGATAGTAATTTTTTTATTGTGACAATCCTATCGAGATTCATTGTACTAGTTTGTAATTAATTTCCTCCTTTCTAGTTGTTATATTTTGTGACAAAGGAAGACCCATCTATTTAGTCTACCGGTAAAATTTATATTAGAAGTTTTCTAGGATGATATATCTCGCAGAAAAAAAATGTGAGTTTTAGTTATAATAACAAGCATCGGATGTGTTTTAGCGCATTTACATAAAAAATTATCGAGGAAAAAAATTTGCAAGTTGCTTGTGAACCTCAGACCATTTACTGGTTCTCTTTTATTATATGCAGAACAGCATAAGATCAATCTGTAACAAACTCTGACTCCAACAGACTCGCACAAAGCACGGATAGCAACTTCTTGACAGCTTATTACTATACCTTAGCTAGCAAACTCTGAACTTGACAGTACCGACACTCTTTCAGGAAACAAATATTAGTAATAGACATGCATGACACCTAGCAAATATAAATGCATGATTATATATATTGATCGTGTGGCAGCAAGATTATAGCTTGTGCTGCTACTGATCATATAACCCGATTGGGGCATCTTGATCTTGTCAGCGTTATCGCAGTAGTCAAACGACAACGCCGTGCAGTTGATGAGCTTCTCGCCGTAGCGGTCGACGCACTGCCTCACCTCGGACAGCAGCGTATCGCCGGCCTTGTTCTTGCTACACTTGAAGTAGGTCCTGAACCCGGTGCCCCTGGCGAGGGCGTCACTGATCTCGCGGAACGTGTAGGTCTTCACGTCGGACGGCCCGACGCCGCCGTCGGCGAGGATCTTCGTGAGGTTGGTGAGCCTCTCCAGCGCGAGCGCGGCCTCGAAGTAGGCGTGCTGGCCGAGGTTGGAGCAGGTGCCGTGCTTCTTCCACTCGAGGCTCCAGAACTCGAGGTTGGTCTGTTTCAGCGACGGCCATTTCTGGTCGAGCTGCTTCTCCAGGTCCTGGATCTGCGTCGGGTCGAGCGGGTCTTCCTTGTTGCAGTCCTCCAGCCACATTTTGCCGTCTATGAGCTTGTTGTAGCTCGGCCACAGGCCATGGATGGTGAAGTGCGACGGGGGCGGGGGCTTCACGAGGCACTTGTGCGTGCTACAGTACGAGTCAGGCCACTGGAAAAGAAAAACACAGGACACCACTTCAATTAATTTTGCACGCACATTACGTATCTGATCAATTAACTAAGAGTGATTTTACAGTTCCTGATAAGGTACGAGGAGGTACCGTATTTTCTAGTGTAAAATTTAGTATTTCTTGGTACCTCCAGTACTAGGAGGTAAAAAATTTACACTAAAAATTTTGGTTTATTATTAACTAAATGGAAATTTTACGGTACTCTTAAAGAGATATTGAGAGATAACAAAATTTTCATTACAAAGTACTCAAGACACGACTACCACTGACGCATGCATCAAAAACGAATTATTATCATCTTCTTATTTGGATCACCCAAATAAATATAATACACAGACCCAAAGAAACTAGACATCTTGAGAATGGATTATTTTTTAAAAAAAATAGAAGAGAGGTTTAAATATCTTTTTAAAAAGTATTTGCACCCTATATTTTGAAACATAGGGAATATTAATTTGTATAACTAGTTTGAACCCCGCGTTTTACCGTGTGATTTGTTAGTCTTATCGTCAAAGAAAATGAATATTTTAAATTATTAGGTGCAAATCTGTGTATATGAAAAGAAGGCGATGATGTGGCTTTATACTCTATGTTATTACTATACAATTTATGCTTTATTTTTTATAGCATCATAGATAATATATGATTGTTATTTCCATATGAAATCTGGATGTAGCAATTAGATTGTTTGGACCTCTCTGCTTCATCTCAAGTTTTGAACATGCGTTTAGGATATATGCTTTCTAATCGTTCCTAACAAAACAAAGCTCATATCTAAACCAATAATTTATGTTGTATTCGGAAAATAAATAAGCTAGCATTATCACGTGCAGAATGGATAATATATAATGTTGTGCGTGACCGTAAGTTCGAGCAAAGAGTGGTGAACGAATGACTAACCAATGAGTGAATTAGATGAGTAGGTAGCTTTTTGATTCAACTATTGTTATCTTTATACTAATGCGATTTGATGGCTTAAAATTATATAGGATGTGGTTTCTTGCATGTTTTAATTTATAGAAGTAAATGTTACTTAGTGAATCTCTCTATATCAAAATATAAGAATTTTTCGTTAGATAAGACACATTCTAATACTGTAACTCTAGACAGACAGCTTGTCCACAAGCTTATACAAGATTACAGTACTAGTATGTGTTCTCTCCAATCTAAACTGGGACGGATGGAGTACATAGTAGGATGTGATTCTTGATAGAGAGGTACCTGTACGATTCTTTCCCATACCTTTTTTTTTTTAAGATTTGTAAATCACTCTAATTAAACCTCCAATTAGCCTGACTGCCTGCCCGTGCAATAGTATCTCAGATACAGATGCAAGTGCAAATCGGTTTGATACCATTATATGTCTTTACAAAATAACTCAACGCAATTAGTTAAAAAGTATCGGCAATTATCTCATCTTTTGCTTTACGGCCAGTAAATCGTGAAAACAAATGAACGAAGCAACCCAATAATAATTTATAAATAAAATTTTTATATCTATAATTTTAAAATTAAATGCTAAAAAGTAAACTACAATATAAAAACATGAGAATCAACTTGATAATTAAGTTTTAAAATTTAAATCTTAGTTTTGGATGATAAGGCAATAAGGAAACGATGGAGCTAGACCACATGCTGATCACCGATCACCTGCTGGGCAAGGTACATGAAGTCGAATTCCTCTGCCACCGAGGCGAGCGGAAGCAGCAGGAGCGCGAGGGAGAACACAACCTTCATCGTCCTCTTCATGGCCATTCTCGATCTATTGTCGTGTGTTTGCAAGCCGCTGTGTGCGCGCGCGCACATATATATATACACATACTTGCAGTGACCAGTCCAATATATATATAGCACAACGTAACGTCGAGGATGTTTTTTAATGACCAACAACACCACACAGGCTACGATGATTAATTGAATAGAGCAGGAAAAAAAACTAGTATCATAGTAGGTAGTAGCCAGGAAAGAAAAAACCCACCACACACCACACACCGAAGCGCCTAATACAAAACCAGGAGAAGGTTAGCACTGGACCAATCGCTGTTAAGCGTGATTGCCCGCCGCTAGACCAGCAAAGAAGCTACCGCCGAACCGCCCAAAACTAAAACTTAACAGCGAGCACCGCACTCGACTCTATCAAAGGGAGAGGGAAAGAGAGAAGGATGGAACCGCTCTCCCCACAATGTCCACTAACATAGTTAGCTTGCATTGACTAGGGCGCCGAGCGAGCATGCACAAGCTGCCTGAGAGAGGATTTGGCAAGGGGATCTCCTAGATGACGTCTCTAAGGAGAAGATAAGGAGAAGAGCAACAATGAACACCGACGTCGCTGTCTGTTGAGGTCACAAAGGACAAGATATGGTTTTCACCCGAAAGCCCACCCGATGGAGAGGGATGGCTCCACAACACCCCCAGGAGGGAAAACGACGTCGCTACCGTCCGACCAGACCGAGCTAGGTATTATACCTATTGCCCGCCCCCTACCGATCTGAAGACATAGTTCCATTGCTCCACCACCGGCCAACCCCTATCGGCACGCAACCACTACAGTACCAGTGCCTCCCGTCAGTCAGCCTCAGCATGCCATGAGACACAAACCGCCATAACCGGCCTCCCGGCCACCGCCGCGTGCCGACCACCTTGCGTCGCCGCATCGACCTCCCATGCCGTCAGCTAGACTGGCCTCCCTGCCGTTGCCGCGCCAACCTCCCAGTGCCGTCCGCAATGGCCTTCCTCAACTGCTGGCGCAACCCATACCGGCCTTCCGCGCCGCTACCTCCACGTAGCCGCACCCCGTCACCTCACTGCCGTCGGCGACTTGGGAGCCGGCTTACCATGCTGGGTCTGATACCAACTTGTCACGCCCGGAATTTCTATCCAAAATTCCAAACGCTTACATGTGTGTGAACCCTCGTCCAGGAATCAGCCGAGGCACACAATAACAAATTGATAATAGAGTACAATTATTACTCTAATTAATAAGCGAATAAAATGTCATTACAGAGGTAGATAGTTCCTCTCAATCAATAAAGATCTAAGCAGCGGAAAGATAAGATAAACGGCGCAGACGACTCCACTCCACAGGCAGCTTGACCAGGGCTACACCTAATCCTCCACACCATCAGCTTCACTGTAGAACTCTTCCTCTGATGAATGATTGCAAGGTGAGTATATGACATACTCAGCAAGTCACGCAGCAAATATGCAAGTGCACAGGATAGCAAAGGATGGCATAATAGGGTTTCATTTGCATAAACAGCATTTAATAAACATTTCAGAATTTAATTAAACAGTTGAGTAATAATTAAACAATATTAATCTAACGCTATACAACATATCCTGTTGTATAGGCCCAACCATTCTGAACAACCATACCCGGCTGTACAGATCTATCTCCAAACCAGGAATATACCATTCCAAACCAGGAGCTAAACAAATTATTACCATTCATAGCATCTGTTATCATGATGAGAGGTGTGAGACTAATCACAAAAGACATTGTTAGACCCGCCCATAACCGCGGGCACGGCTATTCGAATAGTTTTACTCTGGCCAGAGGTGTACCACTGTACCCACAAGACACAGCCCCACAACATGTCACCATGTGCCTCAATACCACCACGGTACCTCGGAAAGGAGCTGTGACAATACCCCTCGCACAACACAATCCACCACAGGGCACCTTTCCTGGATCATAATCACCCCCTTATAAACAAGGCATGGACTCCCCAGCGACCCCCGTGGGCTTATCTCCGCCACTTCTCAGTCTGGTGCTCCACAATGAACCATGCTATACAAAAGGTAAAGCCGTTGCCCACGCTGGCTTGTGGTTGGCACGGTTAATGTTTTACAACCGAAACTCGTGAACCGGTCCTTAATTGTCATGAGCACGACTCTCAAAACCATGTGCTCAAAACCCACCATCATCAAGTTTTAGTTGGCAAGTAATTAATTAACCAATCACGATTGACCATCGTGAGCTATCATTAAGCCATCATTAAATAATAGTGAATCATAAGTTATCCCAATAGTGTGCTAATGTTTCTAAGCATGGCTAAGCAATCATATCTAATATCTAGCTGAACCAATATATAAAGCCCAACTAGTCAAGTTATAAAAACCCAAGGTATCAAGGAATAAAGTAACCAAGAACAAAAGGGCTATAACAAACAATAGGTTAATTCCACCCAATGACATTCGAAAATAAATGCAATAGTTGAATAGAAACAATAGCTTTAAACGGGATCAACATGCTCAAAGGGTTGTTTAGGATCTGTGTGACTTGCCTTGCTGGCCTTGGAACTCTTCGAAATCTTCTCCTGCGAAAACGGACTCTCCGGAAACGTTGGAATCTAAACAGAAAAGAGCAAAAACACCAAAACAGCACATAAACAAGCATGAACAGTACATGTGGATATTTTTAACATGTAGATCTCAATTTTAGAAAAATTTAGAGACTTGAACCAACTAAATCCGAGCTAAGATGAATTAGTTATGAATTTTTAAAGATTAAATCGGATTAAAACACTTATTTAGATTTTAATTGAATTATGACGAAATAATGAATTATTTTTGAAAAGGAAAAGGGGTTTATTGTGTCAGCGGCTAGGATTTGTGGTGGACCGGGCGCACGGCGACGGCTCACGGAAACGGACGGCCGAGATCGATCTTATCCAAAACGGACGGCCGAGATCGAACGGTCCACAACCGGGCCACGGGAGACGACGACGATGACGTCAGCGGTGACGTCACCACCGGCGGCGGCTTGGGCTTGCAAACTCGCCGGCGAACGACGGCGCGGCGACGCGAACGGAGGGCACCAGGACGTAGAGCGTGACGCGGCGAACTCACCGATGACCAAAACGACGGCGGAAGAGCAACGGACGGCGACGGCGTCGAGGAAAAGGCGGCGGCACTCTTCGGCTTGACGACGGCGACGGTGCTCCGGCAGTCTTCAGCGACGGCGAAGGGGCGGACGAGGACGGCGACGTGACGACGACCACGACGGCGGCCTTCCCGAGCGACGGCGACGCACGGCTGGAGCGGCGGCGACGACGGCGGCGCGAGGCTACACGGGGCTAGGGCGCTACCGACGGCGAGAGACGAAGGCGAGGGTGGCGACGGGTAGCGGAGACACCGGGGGTCCTTTTATAGGGGTTGAAAGGCGGCGGCGAAGGCCCACGGCGACCGGCGACGCGAAGGAAAGGTTAGGGTTCGGAGGAAAGAGACCGATCCGATTCGACCTCGAATCCACGAACTTCCAAAGCGATTTAGACGATGATTCCAAAAGAGAAAAGGTGGAGGAGATCCCGGAGATCATTTCCCCTCTATTGATTTCACCGGAGAAGGAAAGGCGCGGCCGAATTTGGAAGGAGACGACGGCGGCGCGGCGCTAGGGTTCGGGCGGCGGCGGCGGCGCGAGGAAGACGACGGATCCGACAGGTGGGACCCACCTGTCAGCGACAGCGAGCGCGCGCGCGGCGACTGCGGCTGCGGACTGGGCCGACTTGGGCCGGGGAGAGAGAGAGAAGGTTTTGGGCCGACTTTCGGCCCACAGCCAAAAGAGACTTTTAAAATCCTTTTTCAATTTAAATTATTCATGAAATGCAATTCCATTTATTAAAAATACTTCCTTAGCTCAAATAAATCCCAGAAAAATCTAGGAATTATAGAATTAAGCAAAGTATTTAATGAAATTTTATCTGGCCCTATTTTATATTGGAATTTATTAATTAAAATTAGATCTTCTCTTCTAGGCTTTTAAAATAAATTCTAATAATTCCAATTAAACAACAATTTATATATTTAGGATTTTTAGGGTGTGACAAACCTACCCCCCTTAAACAGAATCTCGTCCTCGAGATTCGGAAGAACTGGCGAACAGATGCGGATGGGCTGACTTCAATTCATCTTCTCGTTCCCAAGTTGATTCTTCTTCCGAGTGATTACTCCATTGAACTTTGCAAAAACGGATAACTCGATTTCTGGTTCTTCTCTCATCTATTTCCAAGATACGGATTGGTTTCTCAACATAGGTCAGATCCTCTTGGACTTCTATCTGTTCAAGATTAGTTTCTTCGGTAGGTACCCTTAAACACTTTTTCAATTGCGACACATGGAACACATTATGGACTCCTGCCAAAGATTGAGGTAACTCCAACTGATAAGCAACCTCTCCTCTTCTACTGACAATCTTATAGGGTCCCACAAAACGCGGTGCCAATTTTCCTTTGGTGTGAAAACGATGAACTCCTCGAAGAGGCGTGACACGAAGGTACACATAATCTCCTTCGTCAAAACTTAGATCTCTACGACGATTGTCGGCATAACTCTTATGGCGAGACTGGGCCACACGCAATATTTCTTGAATGATTTTCACCTTTTCTTCTGCTTCCCTCAAGATATCCGTCCCGAAAACCTGACGTTCTCCCGTTTGATCCCACAAAAGCGGAGTGCGGCACTTCCGACCATACAGTGCTTCGTAAGGAGCCATCTGAAGACTAGCTTGATAACTGTTGTTGTACGAAAATTCTGCATAAGGTAGATTCTTATCCCAACTTCCACCGAAGTCTAAAGCACAAGCTCTCAACATATCTTCCAAAATCTGATTCACCCTTTCGGTTTGTCCGTCTGTCTGTGGATGATAAGCAGTACTAAAGTTCAGCTTAGAACCCATCTCTTCCTGAAGCAGTCGTGTCATGGGCTTAGCAATCTTGGAAAAATTCTCTATAAACCTC